AATGATTTTCTGAAAATTTGGCGGCAAAAATTCGGCTGAAGTAAAAATAAAATAAAAAAAAATTTGTCTGAAAGTTTCTAATTTCCTCTTATTTTCAATATACATACATACTTGGCTAGTTTAGCATTTCTGCCAAAAAGTAAAACTATTATTTTTTTCTGCATCCATATTGAGACCTCAAAATTTATTTCGCGAAGTCTGTAAAAATTAATTTTTTATGAATATTCGACGAGACCAACGATCTGTATTAGGTCACTCAAGAAAATTACCTTTTCACTGTTAGACGGTGTAATTTTCAAATTTCACAAAAAGTAATTCTTTAAAAAATCTTTTAATAGTAATCTCTTAAAGTAAAGTATACCCTCTAATAGGGCTGCCAGACGTCCCGGTTTTCCCGGACATGTCCCGGTTTTAGACTATTTGTCCCGGTGTCCCGGTCCAACCTTAAAATGTCCCGGGTTTCGTTTAAGTGTCCCGGTTTTCGATTTGATTGCACAAATTTTGAATAAAAATGACTACACTAAGAGAAAAAACGCGTTGTAATATTAAGAAAAATTTTATGAATTTACTGGGGGAAATAACGCATAGTAAACATGAATATTTTTTATTTGATTATCGTTTTAAAGCTTTCGTATTTAAAACCAATACTTTCTTATCATGCACACGTGGTGTTGAATCAAACTGAACATGGCTGTAGCACATGTCTGGAGTGCACGAAGATGCTTGCCACAAATTGCTAATTTACAGAGCGTCAGGGTTCAAATCCCATTACAGGCAGCATGGAATTTAAATATTTTTTTTTAACCTAATTATGAAAAAGCATCCGTTAACTGCAAAGCGCTTCATTTTAATATTGGCGTATTTGAATTGAATATTTCTATACTAAATACTAAAATTTGTATACTTAAATTTATTACGAGTTGGGTTGGTGCTCTTGCATATGCGATTTTTTTTTTTTTACTTTAGCACGTTTTACACAAGCAATAGTTGATAATTAATATAAGTATGTACCTAAATACGTTAAAATTACATGTACAGAGTTTTACAATTATACTAAGCAAAATCCAGAAGTTTTGAAATAAGTTCACAGCAACGAAACAAATGACTGATATTTTAATGTTACATTGTATTTAATGTTTTTTCTTTGATTACTTATAAGTACCGTGTCGTACAAAATTATTGGCTCGGAGACTCTTTCATCTGATCACAAATTTTGAAAATGTAGCTTTTGAGCCAATTAGTAAAGTGCAAGTCTGAAGTTACCGGAAAATTTCGTTGATTTTTGCAATTATTTATTTTTTGCTAACAGTGTCTTCCACATACAAAAAAATGTCGAACATAGTTTGTATGGAAGAAACTCTCAGTAAAAACAATACCAAAAATCAACTAAATTTTTATGGGCTGCAAAACTTCATTTTCAAAATTTTTATAAAAAAGTCTGAATAGAAAGTTGCGAATTTGTATGCAAATTTATTGCATTTTCCCGAGTTTTGCACAAAGTTTAGAAATTTTATTTTTATGTTTTCTGATGTATTTAGTATTAACTGTATTTTTATA